CAACATTCTTCTGAAAAATCGAAAGCAAATCAGCCCTTATAGTGAACTAATAAAATAAAGAATATGTAACATAATTTTAACAACATACCAAAACCATAAAAATATAAAAATTTTTTCATTGAAAATATTAATAACAAGGACGCACTGTATGGTGTGCTCTTGAATATTTCCCATCACACGAACCTAAAAATAGTTATATGAAAAAGCTTTCAACTGCTGTAGATAGGATCACGAATTTCAAAAGTCCTTACATCAAAATCACATAGTGATACTCGTGGAAACATTCCCGACTGCTCCCATGTTGTACCATTTAACAGATCAAGTGCTGCTCCTAAACCATACCAGTTGTAACGATCTGTTTCAAGAAACCTGAAAAATTATCACGCAATAGAAGTTTAAATTTACTCTCTCTCTAATCTTATGATGTTTTTTTATCCAAAATTTTTGTTCGACATATTTTTGCCAAAATAAAGGAAATGAAAATTTGCATTTCTTTCGACTAACAGAAATAACAAGAGAATTAACTTTAATTCGTTTAAATTCTCAGTAATCACTAAGTTCACAAAGATGAAGTCATATACAAAACCAAATCTCAGTTTAGAAAATTGTTATACGGAAAACCATCTAACCAACTTGTTCATGATTAGTAGTTGAACACAAGCATTGGATAGGTAAAGCAGTTTAGTAAGTACATATGTATAAGTGACAAATGAAGCTGTATATGGTATGTTAAACACTCTTAAATACCGGTGAGGATGAATTTGCTTCTTCCGCAGTCTTCGATGAAACCTTAAAGCCCCCTAAACATGTGAAATCTTAAGCATCATAGCCATGAAAAGTCTTATTTGTTCTGTTACATCATTACAAAATGATTAATTTTAACAAAGGTTATCAATTAAGAAAAAAATCTGTTTAAAACTTTGAGAGACTATTAAAGCACTTACATGTAAGTGCAGAGTAAGTGATTTAATATTGGCTTTCTTTATTTCTGGTTTGATGTTATTCGGATCAGAAGATAACTTTACAATTTCATGTAATTTAATACCTTAAATAAGTAAGAATTGTAGTATAATTCAAAACCATAGAGTAGTGCTTTCGTTAAACTAATAATTATTACTTCGTAGTTAAAGTTTCGTAGGAAACTTTAACGCTGAAAACTTTCAACTGTTGAAAACCTCATACATATTTTATATCAAAAAAATGCTTGTCAATTATCCTAAGTTAATACTCCTATCTATATTCCCTTTAGTTCAAAATATGATAGGCTCCAGCGTTAAAAAATCATTGCTGATAGCTTTATTTGTGATACCAATTAACAAGAACATACCAGAATGTCCAGCCATATATTTCCACACTAGACTAGGCAGTCGAAAGCAGGCTGCTTCAACTAATAGGAAAAATGGCACCCACTGGTAGTAGGATATACGCCGTTGTTTTTTCTCTGTGGTTGGTACACCGGCAACTACTTCACGTATTGGTATATAATACGTATTTTGGGCCCAACAATAGTTCTCTGCATACTACAAAAAATTATTGTTTTATTTCAATTGAAAATTAAGCCTACTCAAATTTCAGATTTCGTAATTCATCAATTAATTCGCTAATTCGGACATGAATCACGACAATGTAAGTATCATTTAATGGTAGAAAATAGAAGAGGTGACAAAGTTCTTTTCTGAATTCTCTGGATAGAGAAGAAGTTCCATAACTTCAATGTCTTCCATGAGAATAAGTTTACAGACTATTTAACGAAAAGGATAGCACTACTCGCGTATAAAAACAAAGCTCTTTGGAGTATTTGTAAAATTTAGTAATGTTGCTAAGAACTGCATAGAATATAAATAATGATGTTACATATTGGGAATCATCATTTCCTAAAAATTAGAGGAGAAGGTCACAAATAGAAGGACGCAGCAAGACGCACTGTAATAAGCTGTAATATGAATGTATATATATATGTATAACGATAGTATAATAAAATCTAAGTGAAACCTTCGTTGGCTTTCCGTTATATCGTTAAAGAAGCTGCAAAATTTTATTAAAATGATAATATAAGAATGTTGAATACTAAAGAAATTTTTAATTTTAAATAATTATCTGCAGCGTACATATGAGACTGGAATATTAAATTTAGATTTTCCAAGTAGCACATCAAAATTATACAGCTTTCACTACACTAGATCAACATTTCATCGAAATAATACAGGCCTCATGCTATAAGGACAAAGAAGATATTAAAAATACTTTCATGATGGAAAAGATGTGTTGAACACGATAATATACTGCAAGCGTTAAAAAAGAGATCATATTATCGTGAGCATAACTAGCTAAATGAGAATAATGCAAAATTCGTATCTGAGAAAAACTAAATAGGGCAAGATTATGAAATCCAATAAGCGAAAATTTAATTATTGCAGAAAAAAAAGAAAGAAGAGTGAACATAAAAAGATTTTAAATTATAAGGGTTTCATATCTTTTCTCTATTTTGAAAAATTTGTAAATCGGAACAATACTTACCTGTTCCCATGATCCACTAAAGATATCAGGTACCAAACATTCCACCGGTTTTCCACTAAACTGCTGAAATAAGTCGAACCTGACAAAAAGTAATGTGAAGAGAAAAGCTGAACTCCAGCACAGACATTAAGCTCAAGAACTAATATCTGAAGATTTGAAAAGCCTAATACACATTTTCTAAATTCTTCTGCCACAATATAACACTCTTAAAGTCTATTATGTAACATAAATAAAAACATTATAGTTAGAAAAAAAACTTTGATAATAATAAAACGTAAAATTACATTGGAACGAAAAAAACTTCCCATCATAGACAACAATATATGGATTAATATTTCAGAAGGAAGAGAAGTAAATAGGATGGTAAGCAGTACCAAAAAAAGCTTTTTATTTTAGTACCTAATGAATAAATTTTGTCGCATTTAAATTGAATCTTATTTAAAAAGTACAATGATAATTAAATTGTTAGTTCAATTATAGTACAAAAAAAAGACTTACTTTGAAGCTAACGAGGATAGAGAATGCGATAAGAATGTTTGTAGTGAAATAGCTATGTAATCGATCGACAAAATCCCAATCATCTATGTCGCCAATATAGCGAATCATCGATAGTACAGCTGTTAATACCATCTTTCTTGGTTTTCTTCGTTGTCGAAAGTAACAATCAAAAACAAATCGACATTCTACAGTGTATGACGATATTTTATGTGAACCAATATCTGTTGCATATCTAAAATTGATACAATGGTTTGGTATTGCTTTTTGGTACAACGATGGTTGAATAAAATGAGATAGAACTAAAAAGGCCAAATTGCAAGTAAATTGCGCAAATTTTGCGGAAAAACCAAGCAAAGCCAACAAATATTGAGATATTATTATATTAAGAAAAGAGAAGCATATATTCATATGACTGAAATACCACTTGTTTAGAAATTAATTAAACCTAATCAGTTCCTCTAAATCCAAAATATCTAACCAAACCAATCAAAATTAATTCCGCTAACGACCAACAACAATGACAACAAATTTCAAGCATACGTCGGACTTTTGGATGACTGGGTTGAGTGTGGTGTTTGAGAAAGTGATGTGTGTTGGCCCATTTTGAACAACTACTACTTGCTAGACTAGAACCTCAGCTTCATTCTTCCTAGATTTAAATCTTACAAATATTCAGAAGTTGTATTGTCATATTTAGCAAGACTATTTCTAAATCACTCATATCAAATTTTTTAGCAGAAACATAAAGGGGAAGATTTCAACTTATTGTTTTACCTTGGGATAAACTAATATTTGCTTTAATGCAGAAACAACTGATACATTAATACATATAATCAGTGATGATAACTACAGACACAGGCAATCCAGTCTGTGAAGTGTAATTTCATTCTAATTTTCAGGAATGGTCAACAAAAATAATTTTTCTAATAATTTTACTACTAAATACTTTTCATCCCATAGTTACGATGAAAGTTTGCTTCCGAAAGACACTACGTAACCCATTAACACTTTTTTCAAAACACATTCAAAACAGTAATTTAGTTGAAATTATGTTTCTCCTAAACAATATCGTACCCTACAGTGCTAATACTTTCATTCCACCCTATTTGAGATCGAAGAAATGTTTAACTGTACGATGACTCAGTGCATGACTGATAGATACACTGCTACTACAATGTGTCATTCTCTACGGGATTACTAAAGTATTGGTTCAAGTAACTAGATCAGAAATCCGAATCTAAAAATATTAAACAGCTGCAAGTATTACTGAGCAAGCTTGATTACAGGAAGGTTTGTAGGTGATAGAGTGCGCCTGAATAGTTCCTAAGCGAAATAACAGCTGAAAGCAAAGAAGATCCATTTCGAACACAGCAAAGTGAATCATTCCACTTTTTATGATGGCACGAAAAGTGTACTCAATGTGATCTCAATTCGATGGAACGCAGCAGACAACAGCTTTAAAGCTCTGAATTAATAAAAAATTAAAATCATGTAGGAAATACTTTTATTTTTAATTCAACAGAATTTACATGAAGTTTAAATCCAAAAACAGCACACTAGAATAATGAAACTATTGTTCACTTCTCATCGTGCGAAAAGTTCAGTTTCATTTAAAATCCAATTTGTCCGAATTTGCCCTTTTTATTTTCTGCCACTTCTAGTAACTCATTACACCATCCAGAATCCAAAGGTTGTTCAAAGGAAAGCAGCAGTTAGCTTTTGCTGTCATGATAAGATCTCTGAGCTATGTTCGAATCAGTAAGATCTTTTACTGCATTCATTTGGAAATATATGAAAATATATTATATTACGACAGGTAATTTCATTAGTATTGTGTTTGACCTATCAGTGCTTATACATAATAGATATATAATGAAGAATAAAAATTACACATCAATATATCATCGATTATTCATTCTTTATATAAGTCGACAAATAATATCGATAAAAGTCAGTTGTCATAATAATGATTACGATAGCGTACTTTACGGAACTTCTCTTTTTAGTTTTTTCGCAAATTTTTGTAATGCTGGTAAAATGATTTTTTCCTCCACAATATTTATACCTTCAGTTTGTGGCAGATATAAATAAATGCAGTAGATGCACTATAAAACATAACTGCATTGTCATCAAAGAAATACCTATCATATTTAAATTCGTGCTCACAGTCGAAACAAGTAACTGACTGGCCTCTCTAAATATTATGCAACTTTTTGACGAATCCAGTTTTTTTAATATGCTTGGGATGGATTATTAAGCCATACCACCTTAATGACCCAATAGAAAGGAACAAATCCCATTATCCGTTCGGCGTAAAAATCACTGAATGTGAAGGATGCAAATAGCAACCAATACAGTAACAATGAAAATGCCTTATCCGTCAGTTTCTTTTCCATAACCGGAAAAATGGAAACAGTGTTTTTTCCTTCAATAACTTATCATTCTTTTTTAAAATAAGGATAGAATGCTGGAGATATGCAACTTCTATAATTCGATCAGATCGGTACAACTTGTTACATAATTCATATATATGAAAGGATCCTAAATGTAGAAATATACCTGAATGCTAACTATTGCTGGATAAGTAAAACAGATGATATTGCACAGGAGACCAGCTTCACTGCCAATAATCATATAAATAGCCAAAAAAGCTGACAAGCCATAAACAAACTGAATGTGATTAATTAATAAATACAGTTATGCGTAAAATCTAACGAAAATGACAAGTTTCTATTATTTCTATTGCAAAAGTGACTGGCTTCTATTATTATCTCCTATCCTGTGATGTGGGAAGATGATACATTTTTAAAATTTCGAGTTTAAAAAATCGCACTAAATTTTGAAATTTGAAGCAAAAAACCTAAAATTTCAATATATTTTCAAAGTGTACTGAAACCAAGGTAAATTTTCAGCAATTATACATGTTCTCTTTTGACACCACTTTTTTCCTCTGCATTTTTCACTTGAACGTCAAAATCCGGTGGCAAATTATACAATACTTTGAGCAGTTCCGGATGAATATCATTCATCGAATTTATTGCTGGCTTTCTTTCTCGATTTTCCCTAAAAGTAATAGGCTATGGTCTGAGAAGTTCAGGACAAATGTACGAGCCAAACAGCATAACAGTTATGAGAAGACCTTGCTTACATTACACATAACCCAAAAAGAAGACAATATTTAAAATAAAGAATGCATTTTATAGCCTTAGAACTCAGTATATGCAGATTTTAGTACTGATTTTCAGGTTATAATAAAAGACTCAAATTTTGTAACAGAATTTTTTTTCCTAAGGCAAATGGCACAGTTGGAAGAGTTGAAGATCTGAAAATATCATAGGTTAATTAGAATTCACAGAAGAACAGAACAGTGACGAATAAAAATGTTCACGGGATGAAAGTGAAGATGGTATTGCCAAAAATAAAATGAGACCCAAGTGAAGTCACCATTGATCAGTTATAGCTTCATTGGTTCGCCCATATCTTCACTAAGTTTGCCTTCATGACTGCTAGATGAATGCAATAGTCTCAGAGACCGTCAAAAATTTAAAATCTTCCTTCTATTTTTCAAATAAAAGCCTTAAAGAACAAGAAATAAGAGAAATTTCATTAATTTGCATTCATTTTCGGGAGGGAGTGTTCCACTCGTTCTGGTAACATGCAAGATTTCGAAGTGAACCAAGAAAAGCAGCCAAACTGTATTATGCTTTTCCAAGCGCTAATGTCCACAGATGCACATAGTAATCAAACTGTAATTTTTTTTGCAGTACTAACAAACATGCGATGCTATGTGTTGTTAACATATCAATATCAGCTATCACCAGATCTTCAAAAACTATAAAATACTTCCTAATAGCGAGAAATAAGAAGGGATGGCATGTAGTGTTAAGCTAGAAGTGTTGCCTGTCGCGAATATCGATGATAACTCCTCTCTGGCGGGTAACAGAAGGGTGAGAGTTGTTTTGCCAAGTTCGACATTGTTATTTCTAACTCCGAGTAATGGCATGGTCAGTATTTTAGTAGAGATGGAAGAGGGAGGACAGGACGCGTACCGTATGACTACTCGTGGCATCACAAGGCACTACGTGGATTCACCAGTTTCGGGACACGTGGACAGTACCCATAGCTCAATGAGTTTGTCACACATCTCCTCGTACGTTATTTTTATGATTTTTCTTTGCTGTGTTATGTCATTTTATAATTTAAATGTGTTGTTACATGCATCGTGTCATCATTATTAAAAGGCACTATTTTCTAAGTTTTCATTTTGTTCCATGATTGGCGTATGCCCAGCATTATAAGGAATTAATCTGACTTTAAAATGCCAAACTAACAGTTAGCTTAGTATCTTGATTAAAGATTTATTTGTGTTCTCTACTTCTTCCTTTAATATGAGTAAAAACCTGACAATGTTCTTTTTCATTATATTTAATGTTTTATGATAACTTATATCATACTTCAGTTAAAGATGTATTACTTGATGGAATCTTTTTATCGACTCCGTGTTTTAGAGAAGATGAGCAACAACATTCCGAATTTCATCTGGAATCATCAGCAGACTCCCTGTTTCGAACACCATCGCTGGCTACACGTGGTCGAAAACGTCGGTCATATGAGGAAGGTGTCGCTGTATCGATTGAATCACCAACCATTGTTAAGATTTTTTTTTTTTTATATCTTGTATTTCGTATTACTAAAGTTGTTTTCATAGAATGCTTATGTCTGGACAATTACGACTCCTTATCCGTTCAGAGCAGAAGAGGACGTCCTCGAGGTAGTACGCGACCTCGAGGTGTTGGTCGTCGGGCGAGCGGAACATATTCTCAGGAAGATGCCGATGAAAGCAGTTTGTTCAGTATGGTTAAAAGTGGCAAAAATTTGCATGTAATGAATGTTTTTCATTAACGTAGAATATCCAAAAAGAGGTTTTTTGCTACCTAATATAGAAAGCTTTTGGATGTACGAGTAATAAAATAATGTAATTTTCGTCATAACTAAGGTTTTAATTCACCAGTAATAAAAAATGTCTTTGACTGCTGTATGGTTATGTAAACAAATTTCAGACTGTAATTGATAATTGGATCGAGGAATATGAAAGGCATCCGGACAATGCTCTTGTACAATTACAACAGTTTTTCATCTCGTGCTGTGGATGCAAGGGAATTATTTCGTCCGTTATGCTACAAACTATGGAGTATAGGTGATTTTGGCATATTTTCTTTTTATGATTAAAATTTTCTTTTACGAATAATAAATTTGGATGATTTACAATCATTTCTTAATTTATACTTGGTATGCATCATAATTTATATCTTTTAATAAGAATGTAACATGCAACATTGATGTAGGTTATCACTTTTCTAAACTATTCGTATTTCTTTAATTTTGAAATTTCAGTTTTAAAAAATTTTTGAAGTGGGATGAGATAAGAGTGAAGTTTGTGGAAAGAAAAATTATCCAGTTTTTAATTGCAGTGAAATAATTCGTCAAATGACCGATCAGTTTGATGAAGATACTGGTGACTATCCTTTAGTGATGCCAGGGCCTTTGTGGAAAAGATTCAAACAAACGCTTGCTGATTTTGTTTTAGTAACTTTTTCTCTTAATCGTCCTTGAAGCGAGAAGAAAACAACTTTTATTTAAAACTTTCTTGGTTTTGGAGATCTAGAAAAAGTAATTCTGTTCAGCTGTTTATAGATTTAAGTGATGATCAGCGTATTTCGAAATAAATTCATAAGTTTGCATTAGAATAGCTTTTTTTTTTTTTTCAGAAAGTAAAGTTAAACTTGCTTAACGAGAAAATAATTTCTCATTAAGGAGATGAAACACTATCCGGAAATTTGTTAATTTGAATTTATAGCTTTTGGTCAGTAAATGCAAATCAAGTTATGTGTTCGACCAACGTCTGATGGATAGTGTTATCCAACTACTTACTGGTCTGGCTGACAGTCAAGTGCGAGCATTTCGACATACATCAACATTCATAGGTTTACATCAGATTAGTTTCTTTGAAGAAATATCGAATTTAAGCTTTTGCATTAGAAAATGCTTTGTTTCTGACTAAAGGAAATAAAACATCGCTTGCAAATTTGTTAACTTTTTTTCTTATCATAACTTGGACGTCTCTGAATGGTCGTAGTCGTACTTTTCGAAATTTTAAGCGATTTGGTAATAATGAATTAACTGGGTATATGTTTCAGCCATGAAATTATCATCTGCACTTGTAGATGTTGCTTTGGAGTTGGTGGATCTGAAAGCAAAGAATATAAGACAGGTGCATTGCTGTATAATCAGTTTTCAAATCTTTTTTACTTTTACTTTTTTATTAATTTTATTTTACAGGTTGAAACCGAAAAGGCAAAATTAAAAGCTGAAGGACCGAATAGCCGTCTTGATGTATTAATCAATAAAAAAGCTGAGGTTGGTTTTTTATTAATTTTTAAAACCTTTCTTGGATGTATAGTGCTTTTACTCAGTTCTAGATTCTATCTCTTTTGAATACTTCAAAAGTAATTTTTGAGCTATTCTATTCATTCACTTAGCGTAACGCTTATCTTGTTATATTGCTGTCTCTTATTATCGATAGTGTGAGAATCAATTTTTCCTTTTTTTAGATTGATGATAAAACTGAAGATATCAGACAGATGCTAACCTACATTTTCAAAAGTGTCTTTGTGCATCGCTATCGGTACTTGGAACTTGTTTCTTGAGTTTTATTAAATTTTGACTCATAATTCTTTTGATAATATTTTTTTTTTAAAAAAAAGGCCTTGAAAACTTTTTGCTTACGAGAGTAATTTGGGTTTTAAAAGATGATTTTTGTATTTGATAAAATTTTGGAATTTTTCTACAAATTAGCGAGCATGTTTTAGTGATGTTGTACCTGATATCCGAAGTATCTGCATAAATGAACTTGGCCAGTGGATGTCGGTCTACCCAGACCATTTTCTTGAAGATTCATATCTTAAATATATTGGCTGGTCTTTATATGATAAGGTAAGAATATCGAAATGATGTATTATGAAACATCATTGCTACCTGTTATGACCTTCCTCTTTAGATGAGCGATGTACGTTTAAAATGCATTTTGGCACTTCTTCCACTGTATAGCCAACCGCATATGGCGCAGAAGTTGGAACTATTTACAAATAAGTTCAAAGATCGTCTTGTTACCATGGTCATGGATAAGGATAGTGATGTTGCAGTACGTGCATGTCAGCTACTGACAGAAATTTATCGTATCTATCCTGCGGCTTTAACATTAAAAGACTGTGTACCCATTTATGAGATGGTGTACTGCAATCATCGTGGTCTTGCTCAGGCTGCTGGGGAGTTTCTAAATACAAAAGTAAGTTTAAAAAATTCTGTATCCTTTCTTTTTTTGTAGCTTTTATAAATTAAAAATTAAAGACCAAATTTTTTGTTTAATAGTTTAGGATCATAAGATTTTACTTAATGCAGTGCACTCTATTTATGTTTGTTTAATGAGTAATATGTCTTGGTAACTTCCAGGTATTTCAAAATTTGCAAGTGCTTGCACCAGAAAAAAAACGTGCCAGCGACAGCGCAAAGCAGTTGATTATTGATCTGGTCCAGTTCTTTGTGGAAGGCGATGTTAGCATGTTAACGCTTACAATTTGTTTTTTTTTTTTTTAGTTTGTTAAATGTCTAGAATTTATTCTTACTTTTATTGTAGTGCCATGATCATGCAGCCTATCTTGTTGATGCTCTTATTGACACTAATCCAATGATCAAAGACTGGAAAACAATGTCAGACTTGTTATTATCTGGTGAAGGTTGGTAATATTTCTTTTTTTGACCATAAAAAAAGTGATATCTTTAAAAAAGGGGAAAAAAGGAAAGTTGAAATATAAATGTTGATAAAGTGAGAAATTTACTGATGATTAGCGTTTTATGCTGCGTCTCCTAACTTCTGAGCCAAGTTCATATATTTTTTGAAAATAAAGACTATAATTTTTTGCTGTAGTATTACATCACTTTAGCTGAAGGTTTCGAAAGTGAACTAATTGAA